ATATCAACACTTTATTACGTTATGTCAAAACACCATTCCTTTATGTGGATATTTAATAAGAATATGCTAACTTTTTCTTATATGATTTAAAACTATCTTTACATTGTGTTAATTCTTTATCATGTTGATTAAAATGTTCATTACGTCCTGTAAAATACATTTACATTATGTCAAAGTTGATAACCGTGTTTTCACGACTGGGAAATGGGGGGGGGGGGTCCTGATTTAATTAGGACGAATTACAGACACGTTATATGAGGGGGGGGGGGGTCTGACTTCCTCTTTTTCCGACATAACTTGATCATAGAAAATGTTCATTGAAATTCAGCACCACTTTTTGCTGAAGTATAAGGGTAATGTAGTATATTTGGACATTTTTTTAGGACTGATCGAAGTTGGACCCCCCCCCCCCCTTTCACCGAAATAGGATTTTCGAGTTTGGATTTTTTTTTTTTTTTTTTGCTTTTTCTTGAACGTTATTTTTGTTTGGTTGACAAACCTCCCCCAACTTTCAAAAACGATGCAACGTCACTGGAATTAGTCATTTTTCAACTATTCTTGGACCAGAATTCTGTACAAAAATCTCAGCTCCTTCACTCTTAATCAATTGAACATGGGCTTATATCAGTGGCGATCTTGGGTTCTTGAAAAGAGTAGCTATAGGGGACGATATGGTGTCTAAGTTGGGGACCAGGGGGTGAAAGCCCGGAAGCTCTCAGGCTTTAGATTTTTTTTAAATAAAACGTTTCAACTTATTTCAGTTATACTTTATGTATAAAACTAATGCAATGTCCTACAAAGTAAAATCAACTGATTAAATTCATGCATATTTTAGTCACTAAAGATGGGAGGGCGGGATCCCCCCTCTCCTCACCGACTAACCATTGCACGTATGAAATACGATGTATTTACACTTTTTTTTTAAAAAGGAGGGTTAAAGACTGATAAAAAGCTTAGGACTAGGACAGTGTTTTTTAGTTAGTTCAGAAGTTTCGGACTTTTCAAAATAATTCAAAATAAAAAAAAATATTGCTGCATGACACATACTATTTGAATTGCGATAATTATATGAGATTAAACGGCTATTGAATTTTGACGTTAAAAAAACATTCGTCAAAAAAGATTCCATGGGAACATGATCCTATTTATAAATTTAACTGGATATTTAATTAAGGATTAATTAAGTCTTGTGTTTAATTTAATATTTGATATGTTTAATTTAAATTATTTGCATGTTTAACATATGTGCATGTAATATTGAAAACACAAAACGAAATTGTTGAATTATTCTAGGATATACTGACAAGAGGCTAAGCATTTTAGACACATTGTAAAGATACAATGGCATAACCTAATAATGATTTGTGAAAAAGTAAGGGAAAATTGACATCATGTAATAGCACGTAGCATATTGATGACACAATATAGTAAAGAATTAACCACATGTGACAGTTTTTTTCACATCATGTAATGAAATTCTGACATCGTGTTATAGCAACTTGATATTGAATTAAAGATAAATTCACATCATGTAATGAACTACTTACACCAAATAGTAGAGAGTGCACATAATGTAATAATGAGTTGAAATTATATAAAAACATCTTTACACCACGTAAAATTGTTTTGACTTAATGTCATAAAGAGCTGATATAATGCAATGGAAGGTTGGCGTAATGTAATTGAAGTGCGAGTTAATGCCATAAAGACTTAACATAATGTAATGGGAAAGTTGACATAACGCTATAGTAGTGTGTGTAAATGTCATAAAGAGTTGACATAATGTAATGGACAGTTGACATAACGCAATAGTGTGTGTAAATGTCATAAAGTGTGACATAATGTAATGGAAAGTTGACATAACGCAATAGTAGTGTGTGTAAATGTCATAAAGAGTAGATATAATGTAAGGAAAGTTAACATAACGCAATAGTAGTTTGTGTAAATGTCATAAAGAGTTGACATAATGTAATGGAAAGTTGACTCAATGCAATAGTACTGTAAGTAAATGTCACAAAGTGTGGACATATTGTAATGGAAAGTTGACTCAATGCAATAGTACTGTAAGTAAATGTCACAAAGTGTTGACATAATGTAATGGAAAGTTGACACAATGCAATTGTAGTGTTCTGCTATAAGGCAGTGACGGCGTTCCATACTTTATATTGCATTTTTAAATTCTATTATGTTTTCATATAAATCACTTGTTCAAATGGAAATTACTTTAAGGCATAGTTTTCCTGAAGAATTTTTTCTTTAGTGATGAACCATGTGCAAATTAACTTTTTTGTGGATTTGATCTTTGAAAACCTACCTATCAGTTGCATAAATGGTTTAAAAATTAGCTATATAAAATTGTAATTTAATTTTCTAACCTCTAATTACATAAAATTGTAAATTAATTTTCTAAGATGAAAAGTTTAAATTTAGATACACGAAAGAAGAACGCATTTTCAGCTTGTGTGTTTGTGTGTTTTATTTGAACCGGAGACATTGCATCTCATAGGTATACAATATTCCTAAATATAGAAAAATTAAAGTATACAATGGAATCTTTACTCGTGCTAAGAGTTTGAATTGATAAAAGCATTACACAGATGAGAATTGTCATAAAAAATTCTAGTTTGTGCCAATTTAACACTTGTAACAATGGTTTTCAGCCGGGCTTATTGCTCAAAGAGCAATTGCCGGCTTATGTCTTCCTGTTCAAGGCAGGAAGTCAACCCCATAGTCGCCATTTTAAAGTTACGAGTAAAAATATAGTTCTTGCTCTCAACCGCTTTTGAGATAATGCAAACGCTAAATAAAGCAACAAAAATAAAACGAAGTTTTCTCTTTATAAAACATAAGTGGTAATTAATGACTTTGAAAACTTCAGTTCTAAGTCAAAGAACATAGTTCATTAGCGTAAGGATTTTTGAGAATCAGTGTTATAGTAGTTCTCTACACATACGAAGAAAAGCAGGAGAGGGAACCAGACTGGCCTGTTTTTTTTTCTTTTTTTTTTTTTACATTCAGCTGCGGTACCAGATTAATTCTGATTCTGACAAAATCGGATCGTGGTATTAGGATCGAACTCTCTTCAACTGCTTTTGAGATAAATAAAATGCTAAATAAAGCACCAAAAATAAAACGAAGTTTTATCTTAATAAAACATAAGTAGTAATGACTTTGAAAACTTCAGTTCTAAGTCAAAGAACATAGTTCATTAGCGTAAGGATTTTTAATAACCAGTGTTATCGTAGTTCTCTACACATACGAAGAAAAGCAGGAGAGGGAACGAACCAGACTAGCCTGTTTGTTTACATTCAGCTGCGGTACCAGATTAATTCTGATTCTGACAAAATCGGACCGTGGTATTAGGATCGAAAAACTCACTGTCAGTGTCTTATCATTTATATTGATAGTTTTTTAAAAAAAAAATTTCATCAGAATATAAACGTATGATTCATGTAAGAAATTCATTCTACTCTGTAAATGAGCCCAGCTCTCTGTACTTCTGAGTACTTTGATATTATACTATTTATGGTTTGGAATTTTTCGGATATGCTTAATTAAAATTCCAAAGTCTCATATGGTTATATAATGAAATGTATTGGGTAAGATATATATGTAGTAGGCGCCGAAACCGGGGAAGGGGGTGGGTGGGCTAGGCCCCCTCCCCTTTTTTGCAAAGATAGACATAATAGTGAGGTCAACATTACCGCTACATCGCAAAAAATTTCAACTCATTACCGCTACATTTTTTCAAATTTTAAACCGATCATTACCGCTACATTTTTTGGTCGATAACAACACATAACCGCTACATATTAAATCAGCCAGGTATGATAGGAATATGAGTTCCAATCACAAAGAATTCAGCACAATGTTTTACGGTTCTCATCCTAATATTTCTGACTTTTTGGCAATGTAAGCAATTGTACTGCTTCAAATATCTTAATATTAATACTTACTCCATGACTTGTTTTTGAGATGTATATCTCATTCTACATATTTTGGAGGTGCATGCGAATGTGGAATTGCGTATTTCAATGCATTCTTATAAAAAAGGAAACTAAAAGCAAAATATGAAAGAGACGAAATCACAAGACAGCAGTATGTCAAGCAAATGGCATTCAAAGCTGAACCGATTATGTTAAGACAGTTTGAAGACTATGGGTTTTATCTATGAACAGTGTTTAATTTAAAGAAATTTTAAAGTTTTTTACGTATTTAAATAAAATAGCTTTTAAGGACAGATGATACACACAAGCTTTTGTCAAAGAATTTGAAAATAACAACTAAGGTCATATGTAAATAAATAGAATAAACAACTTTCACCGCGTAGATTTTTATTTTTTATTCAAATTTGCACAAAAATGGAATTTAAAGTGAAAAATATTTGTTTAGATTAATAAGGATGGTTTCAGAAGGGTAGACTTTTGATCATCACAGAAGGTTTACAATTTCTTTATATTTAAGAAATTTATTATTTGCATCATTTGCAATGAAATTATGCCAAAAAATATATACCAATCCAGGCATCCATTTTTTGTTTGTATCATCTGTCCTTAAATTATACAAAAAATCTAGTTCAAAGTCCTTTCAACTCCCTGTGGTGAGAAGGGGAAAGGAGGCCTACATCAATATGCACACGCATAAGTGGCTGGCTAACGAAAGAGGCAATGTAGCGGTAATGTATACTTTTATATGTAGCGGTAATGTAACGTTTTTTGTAGCGGTAATGATTATGTAGCGGTAATGAAAATTTCGAAAATGTAGCGGTAATGATACGCACCCACATCATATAGGCATTGAACAATGGGGCGTAGATTTTGAAGTTTAGCCCCCCCCCCCCCCCCCCCCCACTTACGTTGCAATATTGACGCATATTTAAGCGCAGTCTAAAAATATGCGCAATTATCTTTGTGAACTTTTGTATTTTTAATTACGGCTGTACTTCCCGGAATAATCCTGGTTGCGCATACGGTTTTTTTTCAGTAGGATTATCACTGGGTATAAATAGATGACGTAACGTCATGTCTTTCTTTCTAATCCAGCAGCCGAACGAATTGGTGGGTTCAAATTGATGTAGTGAAAATTAAAGTATTGGGTCTTAAACTGAAAAAAATTTGGATGTTAATGGCGCATTTGCGCATCGTTAATGTTAACTTATAAATGGTTTAATACTTCTGGCGTCGGATATTACATATTTTATTCGGATTTCAAGTAGACCTACCATATACAATTTTGTAAATATTCTCAAGGCTTGGCGCCATTTTGATTTCTTTGCATTAAAGCACGTGGCGCAAGATATTTTAATGTTACGATAAAGTCTCTCTCTTATAACATCTACAAAGAATTAAGTATATAGCTACTGATTATTGCATTATTGCATTATAAGCATAATTTTAATTTTATTTCGTTTTGTATTTTTTTGAAATTTCTGGGACACGATGCCGAAGGTCAAATCGGTTGCTGTTAACCGGTCTACAAGGTCGAGGGCAAATAAACGCAAGCGGACACAGTCCACACCCGAAAGTGTTGAGACGCAAGTTGGATCCCAGCCATTACAGACTACGCAGGTGTCGTCTTTGCCCCAGCCATTACAGACTACGCAAGTGTCGACTTTGCCCCAGCCAGGACAGACTACGCAAGTGTTGGCTCTGCCCCAGCCACTACAGCCCACTCAGACTGCCCCCCATGAGTTGCAAGTCCCGACTATCTCAGATGTATCACCAGGTATTACCTCCACAACTGCTACTGTGACAAGCAATACTGATAACGCAGGTAATTCAACCCAGTCTACATTGTTGAATTTATCTTGTATTAATTCATTTGAGGCACCTATCCCCCGAGCAATTGGGTCTACACAATTTTCCCTTGGTTACTATGTCGAGGCCAGTATCAGGCAAAAAATAATTTCTGGTAAATTTGTTAATTTGGCGACATTATTGGTAAGAGACCCAAATAAAACTCAGGTTTCCTCCACCCTAGCAATAGACCCTAATGGGCAATTAATTGCACAACCTAAACAAATGTATAAAATTCAAACAATTGATCGATGGACAGATGCCTTTATTATTTACATGAGCATTTATACAGCTGCTCACCCCGAGAAAGTTCAGCAATTTCTTAAATACATGCATGACATTAGGCTAGGTGCACAAAGATCACAGGGCTGGCTCACTTATGACGAGCAATACCGTCTTAGGGCATCGATCAATACGACTCAGGATTGGGGTGTGGTTGACGCTGAGCTCTGGATGCTTTACATGACACCCACTACATCCCAGATTCAGAACTTAAGAGGGGGTCAGCCTCAAAAATGTTTTGACTATAACTACAAAGGCTCATGTCATAAGCTAAATTGTCCCTATCTTCATAGGTGCTTGAAATGCAATAATGTCCACCCATCCAACACTTGTTTTGTTAATTCTGCTACAGCGCGAGACAGTTCATTTCAGCCATTTCGTTTCCCCTCAAGTAGACAGAGTCAAACCCACCAGTCAAATACTGCTTTCACAACAAAGCCCAACACTTTCCCAACAAAATTCAATAGATATGGCAAACAACAAACAACTGCAGTCCCTGGGAAATACCCCAATTATAACTAATGCACTTTCAAATTATCTCGATGAATATCCAGATAAGCAATCTGCAACAATGCTAGATATTGGTTTTAAACAAGGTTTTAAGTTGTTATACAGAGGGCCCAGAACTCCATTTTTTTCAAAGAACTTGGTGTCCGCTAATGAACATGGGGATATTTTAGAGGATAAGATACTTGAGGAAGTGCACGAGGGTCGAATGGTGGGTCCATTTCTAAATCCCCCATTGCCAAATCTTCATATATCTCCCATTGGTGTTGTACCTAAAAGCGACGGCGGTTGGCGTATGATTACGCATTTATCGTACCCACCGTCGTCCTGCATTAACTCGTACATAGACCCTAGCGATTCAACTGTTAAATACACATCTTTTGACACAGTAGTACAGACAATTAGCAAGTTGGGAAGGGGGGCCCTGATAGCAAAAGCAGACATCAAAAGCGCATTTCGCCTAATACCTGTGCATCCAGGGGATCATGAATTACTGGGCCTGTTTTTCAGGGGAGCATATTATATCGACAAAATGTTGCCCTTTGGTTGCTCAATATCATGTAAAATCTTTGAAACATTTTCATCGTTCCTGGAATGGCTGGTTAGGAAACAATCGGGATTGAATATGACACACCATTATTTAGACGACTTTATTTTTGCGGGAAGGGCAGGCACTAGTCAATGTCTGATGCAGCAAAACACATTCCAAAGTCTTTGTTCGGAAATGGGTGTTCCCCTTAATCAAGATAAAGCACAGGGGCCCACTACATGCCTGATATTTTTGGGTTTTGAAATAGATACAGTCAAAATGCAAATCCGTATTCCATCTGCTAAAGTCCAAGAAATTTCAGAAATACTAGAATATAATATTGGAAAAAGAACAATTACCATAGCATCCCTTCAGAGCATAGTGGGGAAACTGAATTTCTTTGCCAAGGCCATTCCAGGTAGCCGTGCTTTTAATAGGCGTTTTTATAATGCGATGATAGGCAAGTGCTCATACAAACCTTATCACCATGTTAATATCACCAAACCAATGAAACTAGACATGCAGATGTGGTTAGATTTTTTAAGGAATTTCAATGGGGTAGTTTATTTCCCTGATACCGAATGGAGTTCCCAGGACACCCTCCAGCTTTTCACAGATAGTTCAGGAGCTGCCTCATTAGGATGTGGCTCCTACTTCAGGGGACAATGGGCTTATTTTCAATGGCCAAACTGTTGGGCTGGTACACCGATTCTCACAGACATAACCTTTTTGGAATTGGTACCAATTGTCTTGGCTTTTACAATCTGGGCTGAAGGGCTTCAAAATAAGAAAATAATTTTACACATAGACAACCTAGCTCTAGTTCACATTATTAATAAACAATCATCATCATCTGACAGAGTCATGTCCCTCATTAGACCACTTATGCTCGTCACCTTAAAATACAATATACAGTTCAAAGCTCAACACATCCCTGGCAAACACAATGCTATAGCTGATGCAATATCTCGTCAACAGTGGCACAGATTCAGGTCCCTAGCCCCAACAGCAGAACACCAACCCAGGACAATTCCAGCTTCCTTCCACAGCGTGCTTTCACAGATGAAATAAACCGCCTCTTCACGTCATCATTAGCAAGCAACACAGCCCAATCCTATTCTGTGGGGTTGCAAGCATTTAATCAATTTAGATTAGCACAAGAACTGTCTATTTTATGGCCACCACCAAGCCAACATATCTTCATGTTTATAGCATATTTATCAATTAATGGGTATAAGCAGGCCACAGCAAGGGCATACGTTTCCGCAATTGCCTTTCAGTGTAAACTTTTAGGGGAGTGACCCCACCAAGCATTTCTTGGTGGGTAAACTCTTGGAGGGTTTTAAAAGGGCAAACTGTGAAAGAGACACCCGTATGCCCATTACTTTAGACATTCTTAATCAAATTCTCGATAAGCTACATGTGGTATGCCATGATTCTTATGAAACTAACCTGTTTGCAGCTGCTTTTTCACTGGCTTTTCATGCCTTGTTAAGAGTAGGGGAATTTACTATTTCTAAAGGAAATTCAAGTAGTAAAATTATTCAAGTACAGCATCTGGAAATTCAAGATTCTGTAATTCACTTACTTATCAGGTATTTAAAAACTGACCAATATGGCGTCGGAACATCTCTGACTATTAATGCTACTAAACAATTATCCTGTCCAGTAAAAGCAATGAGTAGATATCTACAGATACGTCCAAGCGTCCCAGGCCCGCTGTTCTGTCATTACTCTGGCCAAACCTTAACTCGCTACCAGTTTTCCGCTGTATTATCAAAAACTTTAAACATTTTGGGCATAGATAGTAAGCGTTATAAATCACATTCCTTCAGAATAGGGGCTGCAACAATGTTAGCTCAACAGGGTACATCAGAAGAAGCTATTCAAGCTTCAGGTCGTTGGTGTTCGCGCACTTACAAATCTTACATCAGGTAAGGCCCAATGCGTAACCCCCCCCCCCCCACACACACACACACACACACACACGCATTCAACTTTATACATGTCACTAGACTTATTGGGTATTTAACATTTTACCTGTATTGAGATAATTTTACAGTGCTTTTTTGGGTGGTTATTTACATAAATCTGATACGAATCAAGTGGTTTCAGTGCCAGTTAATGTGTGGATCCTAGGATCTTCCATCATCAAGAGGGCTGCAGTCGCTGCCACCTGCAGGAGGGGTGGCATTAACCTTTCCATACCACAAGCTAACATTTGGTGGCAAGGTTACAGCGGCATGAAACTCTTGGATCTTTTCCCTAAGCTCAAGTATTTGAAGAATTTAAATCTAGGAAACTCTCCGGGAATTATCATTATTCATTGTGGAACTAACATTATTGGTTCAACCCAGTTAAAGCGGCTGCTACGTTTAATCAAACACATACTACATGAATGTAAAGTATTATTTCCTGACGCTAAACTAGTATGGTCTTGCACCCTTCCGAGAAGAGTGTGGCGCTTTTCTTCAAATATGCGCTCTATGAATAAAGCCAGAACAAGATTAGACAGAGTAGCAATTCAAACAACAACTGCATTGGGGGGGTCATATATTAAACACCCACAATTTAACAGCAACCTTGCACACCTGTTTGATGGGGATGGAGTCCACTTGTCACCTGTAGGGAATGATTTGTTCTGAAGTACATACAAGGTGCAATAGAACAATTATGTTGTCATGTAAATAAGTAGGAGCCATATTGATTTTCTGGGGAAGGCACTGGTCAGCGGTGACAGTTTGAGGTGGGTTGGCGACGCCGTCACCAATATGTGGTTCACTCATTGGTGGCGGATGCACTTGCATGCATGTGGCGTTATCGTCGGAACCCACCTCAAATGGATGTTTCAATTTGTGGCGCTATTTGCGCAATTTGTTGTGGCGCTATTTGCGCAATTTATTGTGCTATTTGCGCAATTTATTGTGGCGCTATTTGCGCAATTTATTGTATATTACAGATTTAAACATATATTTGAACAATTGTGTAATGTATCGATAATTCAGTTTATATCTAATGCTAATGGGATTTTCCCATTAAACAACTTTAGGACTGTATAGTTACCACATTTGATGGGATATTGGCCCATATCGTACATTTATCTTTGATAACTTTGTCAATGGGATATTGGCCCATTCTATATACCTGTATTGCATTTTATTTTTGTGGCGTTGTGCATTTGTGAACATAATACCCAGTGCACAATTCAGCCCACTTGGGGTCGCCACTTGTATTGTTTATTGTTGGGGGACGACCCGGCGGCCGCCCCGAAATATTCACCGGCATATTTAAGCGCAGTCTAAAAATATGCGCAATTATCTTTGTGAACTTTTGTATTTTTAATTACGGCTGTACTTCCTGGAATAATCCGGGTTGCGCATACGTTTTTTTTTCAGTAGGATTATCACTGGGTATAAATAGATGACATAACGTCATGTCTCTCCTTCTAATCCAGCAGCCAAACGAATTGGTAGGTTCAAATTGATGTAGTGAAAATTGAAGTATTGGGTCTTAAATCTTAAACCGAAAAAAAACCACCCTCCCTCCACAACTGTGCAGTCTTGAACTATGTTTAATTGCTTTATTACCACGATACTGCTGTGCTATATTTTATATCTTCAGGTAGCATTTTGCCAGAACCATAGCAACCCTTGTCGCGGTGTATCGTCAGATGTGGTCCTAAAGGCACGAAGTCTGGTCGGCGTTATCGTCGGAACCCACCTCAAATGGATGTTTCAATTTGTGGCGCTATTTGCGCAATTTGTTGTGGCGCTATTTGCGCAATTTATTGTGGCGCTATTTGCGCAATTTATTGTGGCGCTATTTGCGCAATTTATTGTATATTACAGATTTAAACATATATTTGAACAATTGTGTAATGTATCGCTAATTCAGTTTATATCTAATGCTAATGGGATTTTCCCATTTAACAACTTTAGGACTTATAGTTACCACATTTGATGGGATATTGGCCCATATCGTACATTTATCTTTGATAACTTTGTCAATGGGATATTGGCCCATTCTATATACCTATATTGCATTTTATTTTTGTGGCGTTGTGCATTTGTGAACTTAATACCCAGTGCACAATTCAGCCCACTTGGGGTCGACACTTGTATTGTTTATTGTTGGGGACGACCCGACCAGATACGCCAATATTCAATAAATTCCCTTTTTAAAAAAAGAGTGTTGTTTATTCCTTCTGACATCTAAGATAATGTACAGATCCCGTAATGCAAAAAAGGTGCAATTTACGGCGCAATATTTTTTGCGCTCCTTTGAGGAGAATTTGATTAAATAACTAACCTTCACTCCCTAATTCTAGGCACATTCTGTAGCCAATATGTATATTTTATCCACCTCCCAACCATTAATAGTCCTCTCTACAGGCAATAAACTCGCTTGAAGTAAATTTTCAGCAATGTTAACAAATAATTTTAATCAAGCGTGTTAATCACTTGTAGAGACGACTATAAAGGTTGGG